AAAAGATGTTATTCTTTACCCTTCACCCACCACTTTCTTACATTTCAAACGTCACTGTTCTGCTACTCAAAATAAATAAAGAAATTTGAATTACTATCTATGTTTATATCAAGAAAAATTTTTTTTTTTTATTAATTTATATTAAAAGTCAACGCAATGTTGACTTGATTTAAGTTTTGGTTGACTTTAGCTTATGTTAGGTCTGGTCAAAGTCATAAAAATTTATATTATAATCTTTGGAAGCTAAAAATTAAAAAATTAAAAAAAATTAAAAGAAGGTTTTGCTGAAGGTTTACTTAACACATTTACTTAAAATTTTTCTTCTCATGAATTTATTCAAATAGGAAAGTATAGTGTTATTGCATTCTTTTCTCTCAAGTTTTTGATATTGTATTATTTTCTTTGCTTAAGGTTTGGTGATTTTTTAAAGTTTTTACTAGTTGTTTAGTAAATAATGACGGAGCCGCGGAGGGCCCCCTTGACAAAAATACTGGATCCGCCACTAGTTCCCAAGCCCTTTATAACCTAAAGGTTTTTGAAATTATCTTGTTTGAATTTTCTTTAGCTTATTTGTCAGCTTATGATTGAATAAATATTATTTTTTTAGTTTAATTTTTTATTTTTTAATTTATATCATGTATAATTATTTATTTGCCAAAATTTGTTGTTAAGTGTAACAGGAACACACTGTTAACCGTTCATAAATTGTACAATTATTTGAAACTTATATCTTTTTTTTTCCCCCTTTATTTTACACAAACATTGTACTTTAGTTGATAATATCTCATTTTAGGGTCACAAGAGTAAGAAGAAAATTTAAAACATAAATATTGTCTTAGAGCATCTTCAAATGACTCATTATATGACCTAAACTCTTTATTATAAACAGTCTATCCATAAAAACAAAAGTCTAACAGACTCTTTATCTTTAAAATATAAATTAAAGAGTGAGTTTGACTCTCCACATCTAGAGAGTCAAATTTCACTCTCTATCCTAATTTTAATTAATAGACTATAACTTTCTATGCACTTTATTTATTATTTCTCTTTCCCATTAAGTCTATTTCTTGAAAATAAAGAGCATCTTCATTAAATTTATAGAGTCTATTGAATTTGAATAAAAATTGTGTTATTTATATTTAAAAATTAATGAAAATGCTCTTTATTTATAATAAAAATGTTCTTCAAAATAAAGAGCACCATTGGTGATGCTCTTACTGATATCAACAATTAATCCCAAGTAGAGTAAGGTATACAAAATTATAAAAGGAAAAAAGAAATTGATTATAGATGGGTCTGAAGCTTCTTAACTAGATTTTCTATCAGGTTAAAATGTTTAATTTTTTTTAAAAGAGCAATTAAAAAAATTTAATGAATCAAAGTAACAAAATGAAGGATAAATTCATATTATGATGTACAACCACATAATTAAAATCTAAGAGAGCAATATATATTCTAAAAGGTGAAATTAAAAAAAAATATATATATAGAAATTAAACTTTTAATATGGTTATAAATGTTAAGAATTAAAAATTGAAATATTAAAAGGAAATGAGCAAAGTCTTTTAAAATTACAGGAAATGTGTCAAAGCTTTTTCTTGCATTAAGTTCCTATTGCATGTGTTTAGCTTAATTGATTAAATAATTTTTTTCCTTCCATAATATCATGTACTATTAATTGTTAAAAATTATTTAATTGATTGATCTAACTGTAATAGAGTGGTTCTAATCGCCCCCACATTCAAGCTAAGAAAGTCTCATTCCTTATATAGTAGAAATTAAGTATGTTGAAAGTTGGGTTACATATCTTTAATGAAAAAACTAATTTTTAGGGGTGAGCACGGACAGCGGGTAGAATTGGAACCTACGGATAGAACCAGAACCGAAACCAAAACCTACCCGGAACCGACACTGTGTGGGTAGGTTCTGATTCCATTTTTTTGGAACCGACACTATACAATTTCACTTCTGGTTCTTACATGTGGAGGAACCGAAACTAGAACTGGAACTTGGAAAAAAGAACCTGCAGCGGGTACCCGGCTTAGAACCTACAACGGGTACCCTGTTTTAGAACCTAGGCTGAAATGAAATATCTGTGAAGAATGAAGGGTCTATTGTAATTTTACATATAAAAAAAATAAAATGGAAATAGTTAAATTTTTACAATAACCTAATTAAATAAATATACAATTATACTTATTATATATAAACTACATCATATAAAAAACTTTAATATATTAATATTAAAGTTTTGATTAATTAAGTGTATAATTGGAATTAAAACCAATTAAAAGTATTTTAATGTTATTAAAATAATTATTTTTGAATAGAATAGCATATTTGATTGAATAATAATATAATATTGAGTTATTTACTTCAATTATCAAGTTCTAAGTATATCTGTAATTAATTAGTAATTAATTAATTATATAAAATAAGTTGATAAACATTAATACATTACTAGTTAAATGATTACTTAATCAATTATAACATTACATTATAGTTAAATGATTACTTAATTAATTATAAATTTATAATATTACATTAGTAATTAATCAATTATAACATTACATTATAGTTAAATGATTACTTAATTAATTATAACATTTCATTATAAACATTAATACAATACTTAATTAAACGATTAAAAATTTAATTAATTATAATATTACATTAAAGATTTATAGTATGATTACTTCATTCATTATAACATTATATTATAGAATGATTACATAATTAATTATAACATTACATAATGAAATGATTACTTAACTAATTATGATATTATATTATAAATATTAGTAATTTATTACATTAGTACAATACTTAATTAAATAATTAGAAATTTAATTAATTATAACATTACATTATAAATTTATAGTATGATTACTTAATTAATTATAACATTACGTTATAAACAAATTATTACTTAATTAAATGATTTATTAATTAATTATAACATTCCATTATAAACATTAGTACAATACTTAATTAAATGATTGGAAATTTAATTAATTATAATATTATATTAAAGATTTATATTATGATTACTTAATTCATTATAACATTAAATTATAGTATGATCATATAATTAATTATAACATTAAATAATGAAATGATTACTTAATTAATTATGACATTATATTATAAACATTAGTAATTTACTATATTAGCACAAGACCTAATTAAATTATTAGAAATTTAATTAATTATAGTATTACATTATAAATTTATAGTATAATTACTTAATTAATTATAACATTACATATTTAAATGATTACTTAATTAGTTATAAATTTATAACATTATATTATAGACATTAGTAATTTATTACATTAGTACATTACTTAATTAAATAATTAAAAATTTAATTAGTTATAACATTACATTATAGATTTATAGTATGATTACTTAATTAATTATAATATTCCATTATAAACATTAGTACAATACTAAATTAAATTATTAGAAATTTAATTAATTATAGATTTATAGTATGATTGTTTAATTAATTTAATTAATTGTTTGTATTTTGGTTTTGATTGAGGAATTTTATGTGAATTGTGATGAATCGATTGAATTCAAGTGTTGCCTAGAGATTAGAGGATTTATGAGTCACAATGGACACAAATGAATGAGTAATCAAATTTTGTTAGGGGTGTATTTGTAAACTTTCAAAGTATTTTTGTCATTTTTTAAACTAATAGGGGGGTAATTGATTTTTTATAGGGCACCCGGGAAAGGAACCGAAACCTGCATTTTAGGTTCCGGTTCCATTAATTTAAGAATCTGCACTCTGCAATTCCAGTTCTGGTTCCTTTTTTTGGAAACCTACACTGTGCGGTTCCCGTTTTCCTAAAAAATGGAGGGTACCCGAAACCGCTCACCCTTACTAATTTTAGTAAGTTCTACTTTATGACAGTCAAGTTGTCATCTTACCCAAAAACTTAAGTTAGGAGATGCAGATTCAATATTATATTAGTACTCCAAGAGGCTCTCCCACATAAAACTTGAATTTTTTTTATTATTATTTTTTTTTTTCATTTTCTTTTATCTAATTGAATGTAGGGAATTGAAATTCAGACCTTTGACTCTGGTATAAACATGTTAAGTTATTAATCCATGTAAAAACATAGTCCAATAAATACACCATACTAAACAGACTCGTAATAATACTAAAATGAATGAGAATATGTAATTATTGAGCTAAATATAATGTTGAGCCCCAACTTTTATATTAGTTTAAGTTTTTAGGTCAAGTGACAATTTAACATGGTATCAAATCCAAAGAATTAAAATTAGAATCCCGGAATCTCCATATTTCAACTAGATATTGGATTAATTAATATTCAAAATTTTGCTTCCTCAATCTTGATGTCACGTTTATTTTTGTTGGAGAACGGTATCAAAATTTATCATCTTTACATCAACAATATTCCATTTTATACCTTCGCAAATAATTCTTATATATACGGAATCAAGTTCGAACTCGAGTTCATATAATCAAGTCTTTTTCGAGTTTTAATCGAATTTGAGTTTAAACTCGATTTCGAGCTCATCTAATAGGGGTGGATTTGAAAATTTTATAATTTTTAAATTACATATGACTCCTATTACTTTAAAACCTATCAACCTAACCATTGAGTTTAGAAATACTCGTGAACATATCAAGTCGAATTCTACTATGATCGAACTTGACTCGATTAACTACTCGAACTCAAACTCGACTCGACTAACATCGAATCAAGTTCAAGTAACTCGCGAGTGACTCGACTCGATTTTCACCTCTAATGGGGACTTCTTCCTGAAGCTTGATATGCATACAAAATCCAATTAATTCAATTGACATGGAATCAATAAGTAGCCCTTTTTCCAAAAAAAGAAAAAAAAAGCTATTAATTTAGTGGCTTTGGCAATTTACTTATTTAGAGTTACATAGCAATATGACACTGATTTGCTCATGTATATATATGCACACGTATAAATATAACAATGACATCTTAATTCGTAGACATTCCTTTAGCAATGGCTGCACTTTTGATGAGGTTGAAAGATTCTTCAAGATCATCACACAACTGATTAGGATCAGGAATTATACCTTCATCAACTGACAAGATGAAGGTAATTTTGTTGGCATAACTAAGGACATGAATCAGTAATCCCTGCAATTAATGTAAGTGTCAGCTAGCTAGTTTTGATTCAAATAATTAATTAACTTGCACAAATTCATTTCACAAAAGAAATAGAGGTTTAGAGCTTAAATACTTACGGTGGGTTGCCCATAGCTACTTGGAGCAATATAGGCCACTGGATAGCCCAAAAAACCGATTTCTTCTTCTGGCCCTACTACATTTGAGAACCACAATGTCGTTTGAGTTGGGAAACTCACCATCTGCGTTCAGGATTGATCAATCATGAAAGGTTTTCACACACACACACACACATATTTGAAAATTAAGAGTTAAAAAAAAAATTACACCTAAAAGTATAGAGAATAGACCAAACAAAAGAAAGAGGTTTAAAAGAATTATAATACCTTCACACCACCAAACTTGATAAAACATTTAGGCAAGAAATATGAGAAAGAAGCCTCTAGAGAAGCTTTCTTCCTATCCATGGTTGCCTTAGCTTCTCGAAGGTAATCTATTGGATCATCTCGTAATGCAATGGTGAAAGGGTAAAACAAATAACCCATCATGTTGCCCCACCTTGCTTTAGATCCTTTCTTCATCATAACATCGAGCTCCTACATTTAATGCAGAGTTAATAATATTCATAAATATAGTGAAATTTACTATGTAAAAAATATAATATAAATCATTGAACTTGACTAAGTACGTAACCAGCTAATTAAAACTTGATCAATTCGCTTCCACAATAAATAATCTAGATTAGATTTTCTTATTGCATTTTCAGAATCTTCAGATTTTGCAACAATTAATAAAAGGAGGAGGATATGGTTAGGAGCCATTAACAAAACCTTCAAGTTCAAGTGAAGCTAGAGTTGGTAAAACTTGAGAGTGCCCGTAATTATAATTCTTTTCAATCAATTTATCACCAATCGAAGGTTGGGAGGTAGGAAATTAAGTTGAAACTAGAGAATTGTTTAGTTTGTAGAGAATTTTCTAGAAATTCTCTCAAAAGCGTTTGAAGAGTAAGAAAAATCAGCCATGACATTGTTGGAGTTGTCGACTACTTCAGCATTAATGGGTAATGGAGACGCACTCGGGGGTCCCGCTGACCAGTCAGTGGGCGGGTGCCCCGCTCCCCAGTGAGCGGGCGGGGGTCGCGGGGGCAGCGCCCCCGAGCCCGTAGGTGATTTTGGGCTTTTCTATGTATAACCGCTGTAGGATTTCTTTTAAGTTATTAATTCCTTTTTAGGTTGGGCTTAGGAATAGGAATCCATGTAAAACTAGGTTTAATCTCTTAAACCTAGTATATAAACATACTTTTCTCTTGTTATGTGTGTGAGAGCAATTCATTCATTGTAAACGAGAGAGGTGAGACATATTTCAATAATATTGACTCAGCTGGACGTAGCCCACATTGGGTGAACCAGGGTAAATCGCGCGTATAATTTCTTTGTTTACTGTTTGTTTTGTTTTACTATTATTATTTTGTTCCTGTTGCTTCTCTATTTCGTTCAGACATAAGTTTGTGGCTCTGATATCATGAAGAATATAACCAACTAATTTAAATTGACTAATTAACATAAGTTCTATACTTACTTGGATCCCTGGAGGTTTTCTAAGGTTCATGGCAAAGGCTGCTCTAAGTCGAATATTACGCGGAAGATTGTTGCTTTTTTCTGACACTCCTTTATCGATCTTGTGACACTCCCCTGTAATGTTTCTTTAATTATAAATTAGGTATGGAATTGATTCTTTTTTGTTAATTTAGACTATATATGTGTATAGCTTAAATAAAATAGAAACCAGATTTCAGGTTACAAGCGCACCATATTTTCGATTGAGATAACGAGATAAGCCTGCTTGAGTGATTGCTAGCATAACATCATTGATTGTCTGCAAATACAGGAAAAAATAAAATTAGAGAGGATTACTATTAGTCTTTTATGCCAATTAATATGGGTACGTAGAAACATTTCTGAACATGCTTTAATAAATAAACAAATTTAAAATCAATTAAGTACTCTTAATAAATAGACAAGTTTGAAATCAATTAAGTTCTCTTAATTAAAGGCAATCATATCTTAATTAATAAATTTATAACATTTTAAAAAACCTATTGTCACAAGTTTGACTTGATACATCTAACCTATTTGTTAAATGATTAATCAAAATCTCTTATTGCATGTTGTAATTTCATAAGCAACTTACAGTATTCATTGTGTTCTTTACGAGCTTGACATCATCCAAACTCACTGATCTACGAACAAATCGCCGAGTTTGGCTCAAGGGACCCTTGAGGGGCGTTTTAGTATCATTTAAGAGAGATAATGAGGTAGCAATAAACATGGAAACATCGACAAGAGTGTTCCAAAAGAGCAAGATAACCAACCATAATTTGATGAATTTTCCCCAAAACCCTCCAGAGGATTTGCTGGGATTTACTTTCTTAACGATTGAAATCGTGGGAGGTTTGTTTGGGTTAGAAATCTTACGAGTACAAGCAAGGAAAAGAGACATAAGCGAAATTCCATCACCGAGGGAGTGGTGAACTCGAAAAACAGCGACGGATTCAGCATCAGTGGTTTTCAGGTTGAGGAGATGGATATCCCACATTGGCACTGACATTTTAATTCCAGTTTTGCTCAGGTTGGAGACGTAATCTTCCACAAACTTATCAGGTGATTCAATATTATTTATATCCAGAATTGGAACAATAACATGATTGTCTAAATTCACCTCTTTCTGATTAACCCATTTTAGCCCCCCTTTAACTGTCTCATCTTCAACCTGCCATTGTAGTCAAGTTAGCAATACAAAGTCACATGAATTCATTTCTTTATCAGTTACTGAACACCGGTAAATACAATAAGACTAAAGTTCGGTCAAACATTTTTGTATTGAAAACTGTAAAAGTTTCTACTCTAGTCTTCACCAACACAAAAGTAATTTGGAAAAATGAGAACATTTACACATAACAATTTCCAATAAAAGAGATAGAGAAATTTATACTCTATAGTTTGAGGGTTCAAATTTATGGTTTTGTTAGTTACCTGCAAACTACAGAAACGAGGCTGCTTGAGAAAAGTATGCACTAAGCTTGCTTTAATATCTTCTGGGTTCATTTTTGTTTTCATGCCAATCATGACAATGATGTAGATCCCTGAGTCAGGTTGATGACACAGACGAGCAATTGGACTCAAGGGCAGACCTTCCTCACAATTTTGAATCGGGTCTTCAACATCTAATTTCAGTTCGATAGGTTTAAGGACTTCCATTCTCAATCTCGGAGACTTAGAATTTAATTGATGTATGGGAAAACAAAGGATAGGAGTAATGTTAATTTCTTTTGTAAGTTTCAATGAAATTGCAGTTCTTGTGGGCTCTGCTTTTATAGAACGACATGACATTATTACATCATTTCAACGCCATTCTTGTTACATAAACATGGGCAGCAATTCTAGCAGTTCATCAAATTGTACTACTGCATGGACATGACCATTGTCTTAGTATTTGGTTCATATTTCAATCATGTCTAAAATTAATGAAACTTTTGAATTGAGCGGCTATTAATTAATTTTATTTTGGAGCTCTAATTAAAAATTATATTAATTTTTTAGTGAAGTAAAAAGCATTACACAATGTTAATTACTAAAGTGAGATATAATCTAAACATGAAATGCATAAGCAGGTAGCATCTTCAACCTACAAGTAGTTGGGAAGTAGAGTTATGGACCCCGGCCTTACCTGTATAAAATTACAATTCATTTTTAGAAAGAGTTTATTACCTGTCCCCGCAAGGCATCATGAAATAACAATTTGCCTCTTATAGTCACTATTTTATTAGTGTTTTCATCATCTGACTAATACGTTAACACTTAATCTATTAAATTAAAATAAAACTCTAACGAAATACTAATAACAGGGATAAATTGTTTTTTTATAATATTTAAGGGAAAATTGTTATATATTGATACTTTAGGTGAAAATTGTCATAAATCCTTATAGAATTTGGATGCAATTGTCAAGCTCTTCCAATATAAATAGCGAGACTATGACTGTTAACCACATTAAAGTTTTGTTAAAGAGATCCTGCGAAACCATATACCTGGTGCCAACAAAGTCTAGACCAAAAATATAAATAAGCCATGTAGATGCCATTTAATCCTAATGAGAAAATAATTGTTGGGATATTGTGGTTCATTTTATTAAATTGTTTCTTTGTAAAAATTGTTTCCATTTAGGAAATTTATTAAAAGATGAATGAAATTGTTATAAGATAATATGAGTTCTATTGAAAACAGAAATAAAAATAAAAATGTGAGTCTGCCCATTAGAAGTAGAATATTTCATATATTACTTATTAATAAAATGTGAAAATCAATTCAAGATTACGAGAGAAATATATGTTCCATAAGATATGTAATGTAAAAGAGTTGGTTAAATACTATGGGTTGAATATAAAAACTAAGATATTTCCATTTTGTCAATTAGTATTGAGTTAGATTTTAGGTTTATGGTGTTGTTGTTCATTAGTATCGGGAGTGTTATTGTTAAATGTGGAAGTCTGAAAACAGCGTCGTTTAAGTAACTCAAATACGGCGTCGTTCAGGCGTATTAGTTTGGGCAAATGCAGACCACAGGATTCGTTTCAGATTGGACGGCCAGGATCACTCACAGAGTCAACCATATATAAGCGCATGATACAGTCATTCTAAACAGAGAGAAAAATCGAAAGAGACTAGGGTTATTCTTTGAGTCGGCTATTCTCTCTGTGTTAGGGTTCAGATTCAATTCCAGATTGTGAGTTTCAGTCGAGTGATTAGGGGATTTAATCATTAAGGTGAGAGTGTTGTTCTCTCGGGTTTGGGATATTCTTAGAGTATCTTGTAAGGCTGAGTGCTGTTGTAAAACGGGGTAAATCTGGTGAGTGGAGTCTGTGTAATCTTGACTGGTTTCTGGAAATCAAAGTGCAGCGAGCTCATACCTTTCTTGAGCTCAACGTGGATGTAGCTTATCCATAAAAGGATAAGTGAACCACGGTAAATTGTGGCGTGTTCTGTGTGTTTGATATCTGTGGTATTTCTTGTGTTTCTTGATTTGATTGTGTTGTTTGATTAATCAGTTCTTGCTACTTAGGCATAACAGTTATATTCTTATATATTGGTGTTGACATAATTAGTGGATTTTTTTCCTCATTCGTAAATGTAGGTAAATTATGTTGAACTACGTTAAATATAATGTATTTTTGCCTAGTTTGATTTATATTCAAAATAGCTATAACAAAAGATGAAATGTGTTTTCGTAGTGAAGACTATTTCACATTTTCAATGTATAAATTCAAATTCATATGAGTTCGAGCAGCCATATTATAAAAAATGAAATAAAGAAGGTTTGGTTAAGGCTAGCTTGAGCTTAAATTATACTATAATTAAATATATTTTGTATCAGTCATATTTTTAACCATTTTATATAAATATGAAAAAAACATTAAATTTTCTCTCCATCATTATCTAATAGATAAGAATTTGGTAAATTGAAATAAATAAATAAAGACATAAAAATGGAACTTGGGACCCATAGGCTTTAAAAGGAAGAACTTATAAATTTAAAGGAAAAAACTTTCCAATTCATTTAGGAAGAAGAAGGTGACGTGGCTTGCATTCCTACTTGATTACTACTTTTTTTTTTTTTAAATTATTGGTATAATTCTTCAATCACCATGATTATTACATATATATTCGATCGAACAACGTTTTCCATCCAAAAAGTTTATAACATTTACAAGACTTTTTTCGATAATCAAACTTAATTCTACTTTATGTCAATTTAAAAGTTATAGAATTGAAAAAAAAATAAAAAATAAAGATGGATAACAATTTAATGAAACAAATAGAAAATAAAATGATGATAAACTCACATAATATAAAAATACATATAAAGTTGTCTAATATATTTATGTATTTAGAGACTGAGGGAGAGGAATTATACTATTATTCTTTATACTGTTTTAAAGGAAATGTCTAATCTTAAATGCAGTTAAAGTTTTTGAAAATTATTAAAAATATATATAAAATGATTACTCTGTTCTTTGTTTTTTGTTTGTTTGTATGATTTAGTTGTACAACTCAATTGTAAGTATAACATTGTTTTAATAATTATAGGATTTTTTTTTTTTTTTTTTTTAATGGTTTTTGAAAAGCTTGGATATATTTCATATTAAACAGTCCCACAAAAAGTATATGAAATAAATCCTAAAAGAATTACAAATCTAAACTCATAAGAAAACTTCAAAAGTAAATGAACCAAAATTCTTGATATAATTTCTAACTATTTATATTTCTTGCACAGGATACCCAGAACATTACTCCAGATCAGTTTAAGGGGGAATGTTAGAATATAGTACAAACTGGGTGTTGTTTGATAATTGTCAAACGTATGAGGGCTTGTGTGAAGTTGTACAGAAACGGTGTAGTTTTAACTACACCTGCTTCAGTTTAAACGTAATTGTAAACTCAACTCACTCTTTCTCTTTCACATATAAAAGAGTAAAGTGAGCTGAGAAACAAAAAAGCTTTTACACTGTTATTGAATCAAATCTTCTCTTCAATTTACCTAAGCTTTTCTTCGATTCTTATCAAAACTCACATTAAGGACTTCCATTCTCAATCTCGGAGACTTAGAATTTAATTGCTGTATGGGAAAACAAAGGATAGGAGTACTGTTAATTTCTTTTTAAAGTTTCAATGAAATTGCAGTTCTTGTGGGCTCTGCTTTTATAGAACGACAAGACATTATTACATCATTTCAACGCCATTCTTGTTACATAAACATGGGCAGCAATTCTAGCAATTCATCAAATTGTATTAATGTATGGACATGGCCATTGTCTTAGTATTTGATTCATATTTCAATCATGGCTAAATATTAATGGAGCTTTTGAATTGAGCGGCTATTAATTAATTTTATTTTGGAGCTCAAATTCAACATTATATTAATTTTTCAGTGAAGTAAAAAGCATTACACGATGTTAATTACTAAAGTGAGATATAATCTAAACATGAAATGCATAAGCAGGTAGCATCTTCAACCTACAAGTGGTTGAGAAGTAGAGTTACGGACCCCGGCCTTACCTGTACAAAATTAAAATTCTTTTTTAGAAAGAGTTTATTACATGTCCCCCCGAGGCATCATGAAATAACAATTTACCTCTTATAGTCACTATTTTATTAGTGTTTTCATCATCTGACTAATACATTAACACTTAATCTATTAAATTAAAATAAAACTCTAACGAAATACTAATAACAGGGATAAATTGTTTTTTATAATATCTAAGGGAAAATTGTTATTTATTGATACCTTAGGTGAAAATTGTCATAAATCCTCACAGAATTTGGACGCAATTGTCAAGCTCTTCCAATATAAATAGCGAGACCATATACCTGGTGCCAACAAAGTCTAGACCAAAAATATAAATAAGCCATGTAGATGTCATTTAATCCTAATGAGAAAATAATTGTTGGGATATTGTGGATTGTTTTATTAAATTGTTTCTTTGTAAAAATTGTTTCCATTTAGGAAATTTATTAAAAGATGAATGAAATTGTTATAAGATAATATGAGTTCTATTGAAAACAGAAATAAAAATAAAAATGTGAGTCTGGTCCATTAGAAGTAGAATATTTCATGTATTACTTATTAATAAAGGGTGAAAATCAATTCAAGATTACAAGAGAAAGATATGTTGCATAAGATATGTGATGTAAAAGAGTTGGTTAAACACTATAGGTTGAATATAAAAACTAAGATTTTTTTTTTTTTTTTCCATTTTGTCAATTAGTATTGAGTTAGATTTTAGGTTTATGGTGTTGTTAATTAGTATCGGGGGCGTTATACTCTTATATATTGGTGTTAACATTATTAGTGGATTTTTTTCTCATTTGTAAAGGTAGGTAAATTATGTCGAAATATGTTAAATATAATATATTTTTGCCTAGTTTAATTTATATTCAAAATAGCTATAACAAAAGATGAAATGTGTGAAATGTGTTTCCTTGTGAAAACTATTTCACATTTTCTACGTATAAATTCAAATTCATATGAGTTTGAGCAGCCATATTATAAAAAATGAAATAAAGAAGGTTTTGTTAAGGCTAGCTTGAGCTTAAATTATATTATAATTAAATATATTTTGTATCAGTCATATTTTTAACCATTTTATATATATATAATATTAATATATCTATATATATATAGATTATATATATATATATCTAAAAAACATTAAATTGTGTCTCCATCAT